AAAAGGAACATGACATTCATTTTTCTGTCTTTTTTTTGTGAAGACGTTCGCACGTTCATTGATTTTTTGCGCCCTGTAAACACGCAAATTGTTTTTAGGAATTTGATTTAAAAAGAAATCTATTTAAACAAAATGATTTTAGTATTTTAAAATTCTCTTATTCAAATAATTTTGCGATTGAAATTTGAAATTGAAAAAAAATAATTGGAAAGTTTCAAAAGAGTTTGAAGAAAAGTTCACTTTTTTTTTTTGAGGAAGAAAGTTTATTTTTGTAAATCATAAATTTGGTAAACGCTTTGAATAGTTAATTATATTTTGTTTCTTGAAAATAGTTTTAAAAATTGAAACAAATTAAAATTAATAATTTTAATTCTGTTCAAAGAAACTTTTTTTTAAAAAAATTTAAGCATATTCATAATTTTAAAGAAATACAATTCGATTTATTAAACCAAATTTTTTTGTTTCACTTTTTATTGGAAAACAATTTGAATAAAAAAACTGAATGAAAACATTAAAAAACCATCTAAAAGAAAAACTTAATAACACTTAAAATTTTCATAGTACGCTAGATCAAGAAACAATAAATTATTAAAAACGTGGTACCTAATGTTTTTGCTTAGATCTTACTCGTTTGGTCTATAGATTATAGACTCGAATGTTTTAGCGCAAAAAAAGTTTTATGAAAGCATGAAACAGTATCACAAAGTTGTTATAAGCTCTTTATATTTTTAAAACAACTTTGCAGTTAGTTTGATTGTTGTTTTATAGCTTTTTACAATAACAATTACATACTCTTTAAAAATAACACATGTTTTATTGTCACCATGAACATATTAAAAAGATTTCTATGACTAATTAAAGGGGTTAAAATATTGTAATACTTGCAATTTTACTCTTACTTCTTTACTTTTTTTTTTTTTTTAAAGTATTATGTTAAGTAAAAACAATTACTAAAAAATATATTAATAGTATTAAATACGTTACTTGCTTATTACACTATAACTGCAACTTAAACTTTAAACTTAAGCTGTAAATTATAACAGTAACTTACGCTATTTTAAACTCCGTCACACAAGAAAACTATAAGATGATATTTAAATATGAGATATGTTTAAAAAAAAAAAAAAAATTGTACTAAAGATACAATTTTACACTAACATAACCCCCCCCCATTACAACAAGGTGGCGTAAGGTATAGGGGGGGGGGGGGTTAGGCAAAAAAAAATTTTTTCGCTATTAAATTTTTTTTGTGTTAATTTGAGACAAGTATTATTTAATGCAAAAAAAGTTAATTACTTCAGCGCTTTTTTTTGTGACAAAGATCTAAGTTCATAAGTACCACTTATTAAAAAATATATACTGTTGCGCTTTCACTTGCCTTTTGAAAAAAATATGAAGAAGATAATAGAGATCTAAATTCCTCTAAAATACTAAATAGAGTTATATTTATAAGAAGTTTTTTAATTATAAAAAAATTAACTCTTTATATGAAGTGATATTAAGTTTGTAATAGTTAATGTTTTTAAATTTTTAATAGAATTAAACATTAAAAACATTAACAAAATAAACAAAAAATTAAATATCAAAAGTGGAACTGAAATATAAATTAAAATTTAACATGTACTATTTTGAATCAATTTTTATAAAACAACTTAACAATACTTTTTATTTAAATGTTGTGAATATTAACTTTTTTTGATTTTGTGTTTAAAAAACATAGTTTTTTATTCAAAAAAACCTAAAATTGTTATTTTTATAAAAAATAATTTTTTATTTTTGAAATTTTTAAATGATTTTCTTATTTTGAATACCAGGTCAACATATTTTTTAATAATTTTTTAAAAATAATATAAGGACCTGTCAAATTTTTACAGGCTTTGGGGGACCAATAATAAAATTTTTAAAAAATAATTTTGAACCTCAATATGATAGTCGAATGGGAAAAACTTCAACCAGCTATGTTCTGAAAACAAATTACTTAGCTTACTGAACAGCCCTAATGTACTATTTTTAGTTAATAATCTTTCGTTATGTTTTTGATTTTATTTTTTTAATCGGAAATATTTTTTTAAACAAATACTAAAAACTTTCAAAAATTTTTATTACTTGTTAACAATATTTACAAAAAAATTTTTTTTGTTCTAAGACTAATTTATTTTTTAAGAATTTAAACACTAGATATTTAATTTTTTTATCATAATTTAAACATGTACCAAGTTTATAGAAATGTGCTCTTTATAAAAATGTTATATATATACTCTTTCATAAAACTGTGATCTTTAAATTTTATCGCAAACTGTTACAAGTATACATAGTCTGTGAAGGTCTTTAAAAATATGTTGAACGGACTTTCAAATACTTTTACATTCACTTTTTCTTTTGTTTACTTTCCTTTTTAAAGTAATAATTATTTTTTTCTTTAGTTGAAGTTATTTCATGATTGCGTTTTAACAATTTTTATTTTTATAATTAATTTTAAAAACAATTCCAATAAATAATTTTCTTTATTTTTGAAATAACATAAAATTTAACAAAAACATTTATACCGTAGACATCTTCTACCGAACGCTTGCAAAACTTTAGTGAATAGTGCGAAATTCAGTAAAACTGTTAAAAAAGCGCATT